CTGACAAAAAGCAGCAGAGAAGCCAGGCATGGTGGTGCACCTTTAATCCCAGCACTTGGGTGGCAGAAGCAGGTAGATCTCTCTGAGTTCCAGGTCAGCAAGAAATAGTCTGTATATGGGAGTAGGAGAGGCACTGTAGGAGAGGAAAGTTTTTTATTTATCTTACATTTCAAGTTAAAACCCATCACTGAGAAGAAGTCAAGGCAGGAAATCAAGCAGCAACTCCATTCCATACACAGTCAAGAACGGGGAAAATGAATATACCATGCTGACTGCCTGCTATCTAGTTTTGCTCAGCTGCCTTCTTCATCTTTATACAGTTCAGGAGCTTGACTATGAAAACAGTGTGGCCCATGGCAGCCTCGGTCCTCCTCCACCAACTAACAACCAAGACAATTCTCTAAAGACAGGCCCACAGACCAATCTGAACTAAGTAATTTGTCATCTGAAAACTCTTTCCAGGTGTGTCCAGGTACAGTTAAAGCCCACCAGGCCACTGTGTATTGAAGGCCATCCTGGGCTACATAGTGAGTTCTATGCTAGCTTGGGCTACAGAGTAACATTCTGTCTCAACAAACAAACAAACAAATAAAACAGGGGTGACTGGGAAGATGGCTCAGCAGGTAAAGCGCTTACTGTACAAGCATGCAGGCCTGGGTTCAGATCTCCAGCACCCACATAAAAAGCCATATGTGTCTGTGCATACATCTGTAACCCCAGCACTGAGAGACAAGAGAATCACCAGAACACACTGGATGACTGAAATGGAGAATTCCAGATTCAGTAAAAAGACCCTGTCTCAAAAAAGAAGATGGAGAACAACTGAGGAAACAGTTGACAGTGACATCTGGTCTACACACACACACACACACACACACACACGCACGCACGCACGCACGCACGCACGCACGCACGCACGCACACAGCTCAGGGATCATTGCAGAAGACGATGAAGAAAGACTAAGAGCCAGCATCTGCTGCGAAACAGTATTTGCAGGGAATGATAGCCTTTACATGCATGAACTCACAACAGCTGGGCCTGCATGCACAAGAGCAAGCCATCCAAACATGGATCAGGAAGGGCCCATGAAGTCCCACCCCTATGTGTTTCATGTACCACCTTGAACTGGAAGACAGTTACATGTATTTTAAAGCCTCAGAGGAGCCTGATGCACAGTCCAATCCTAACCCGCCCTTTTGTTCCATGTCCCACTCATCTTAGCACTGAATGTCTGTAGCTATATACCTGCTTGCAGTCTGTAACTCATTTTTCTTAGTAGGCAGCTTTTCCTACCCCAGGAAAGAAACACACCTGATTATTTTGCTCACCCTACTGCACCTCCCCAGCATGATGTAAGGTGCTTCTTCAAAGTTCAATAAATTCCTTTAAATTATTTTAGATTCATTTATTTTATACGTGTGAGTATTTTGTCTGGGCACATGTGTGCCTGGTACCCTCATGAGTCAGAAGAGGGCCCTGGCCCTGGAACTGGAGTTACAGATAGTTTAAAGCCACAACATGGGTGCTGGGAACCAAACCAGTATCTTCTGTAAGAATAACAAGTGCTGTTAGCCTCTTAACCACATGTCCACCCCCCTAAGAGTCAATAAATTCTTGAATGAAAAAGATGAACAAATGAATGAGTGGGTGAATAAATGATACACATTTAAGTAGTTTCCATAATTTTTTCAATTTTGATTTAATTTACTCTTCTGATATAAAATTAGTCAGTTCAATGTAGCTTCTTAGGATTAGTATTATTTTAAAATGGGTACAGTGACTCATTTTTATTTTTTAAAGAAACTTTCCATTTTAAGGCCCTATTTTCAGAAACACTTTATAATGCACAAGTTTTCAGCTTGCAAGTGGCTTCATTCGAGTCTTGTAGCAGAAAATAGCTTGTGCATGTCCACAAACATGAATGGAGCTCACTTGTGGCATTTTTCTATTTTGGTCCAATGCTGACACAAATAGAAGCCATTTGGGTGATTTCTGCTGCCGTAAGCCCGTTTAAACTCAGGGTTGCTATTGTAAATAACAGGATTAAAAGCAAAGATACTTCAGTCATCATTGATTCCCATCTCAGACAAAGAGGAGAAAATAAATATATCTACTAAATATATTAACAGGACAAAAATGGCTTTTAAAAAAAATTCATTTTTTCAGATTTCAAACTGAGTATAAATTTTTAATAAATAACACATAATATGTCTCTCCATGGGTTATTTTTTAATGACTTCAGGAATAGAGATGCTGAGATATAAAACCAGGAAGAGAAAGGCCAAGTCAAACAGTTCATGGAAAAATTCTTTTAAGATCTAACTTAGGAGAAAAAAAAACCCTACTACCTCATTGTTTTCATCAGTGAAAGGTTTTGTAAATAGAGTGTAAATATGGTGACTGTTTTCTTCAATCAGTCAGTGTTTTCCTTTTTCTCCTATGACAGGATTATGAGGATATAAAAATGTAGGAAGTTCTATGGGACAGATGAGCCACACTCACCCAGCAAAGAATTTGTTTTCATTATTCGTTTTCATAAGAAGAACTTTGGATGCTCTAGGAAGAATGAACTGAGAGAAGGGAAGACCTTCCCAGGACACGCAAGTTTGTTTGGAGGGCCACCTCACAGAGACACACAAGAGGCAATAGGAGCTGAGACCAGGATTTCAATTGATGAGAAGGTGGGAATCAGTTAGAATACCCTAGACCCTGCCCTTTTATGAGCAGAAATATGTTGGCTCACAGTTCTGGGGACCAGAGAGCCCGAGATTAAAGAGCTAACAACTGGTGAGGGAATTTTTTCTGTGTCATCCCATTGTAGAAGGGCAAAGAGACACGAATCCACCCTTTTATGATGAACTAGCTTTTGAAATTCACAGTATTAACCTACACACAAGAAGAGTTAATAGATGCTAGTGGTCTTAGGTGTGACCCGAACCAAAACTCATCCTTTGCAATAGTTAAATGTTCTTAACGACTGAGCCATCTCTCCAGTCCTATCCCATACACACTCTTATTGTTTTCTTTTGCAGGAAGGAACCAACTGATTATTGAAGACCCTAGTTCCTTGATTCTTGTTGAGCAAATAAAAACAGTCTCCAAATTTGCAGTTATCAAGACAGTGTATAGTAAAATGTATTACAATAACTGACTGTGTTTGTGTTGTCTCTTAGCTCAGAGAGAAAACTCCAAACAGACAAAACACCCAGAAGGAAATGATGAAAAGTCATCCCTGTCTGACCTTAGAAAACAGTTTCACCTCCAGCAGAAACGTCTGATAGGGTGATTGACATGAGTACATAAAACCTTCTCAAACGTCCATTAGGAGCTAGGGAAAATAAAGTAACAATTGTCTTTTTTGTTGTTGTTTGTTTCTCAAGATAGGGTTTCTCTGTGTCGCTCTGACTGCCGTGAATGCTCTGTAGACCAGGGTGGCCTCGAACTTACACAGATCTACCTGTCTCTATCTCCTGAGTTCTGGGATTCAAGGTGTGTGCCACCACCACCCAGTGTAGCTGTTGTCTTAAAGGATATAGTGTTGAGAGAAGAATGAATCAAATAATACAGCAGGAGAACATGTATACTCATATTTTAAGCTGTTTTTGCTACATTTGTATAGAAGAAAGGGCTTCAGAGATGATTATCACCTAATTTTATAAATGAAAGTAGCAGAAGCCAGGAAGCTGGTTTTCATGGGGGTCAGAGAATCAGTTCATGTGGCAGTTGTAAGGCACTGCTCTGGGCAGCTCTGTTCCAGCTTCCATTCCATCCACTTATATAGTCCATCACTTCCCGTTTCAGTTCATTTCTGTTCCTCCAACAAAGCCCTGGACACAGGTATCAAGGAGGGCTGGGCCATCCTAAGGCTGCAGCCACGAACTGCTAGAAATGTTACTATATTCAAGTATTTCCATGTG